TGAGGCCAGTCTGGTCTACATAGCAAGTACCTGGCCAGTTGGGGCATCAGCATCCCTCTCTGCTTCTGGACTCTGGATGCAGTTCGACCACTGCCCCTTCTTGTTAAAGCTGCTTTGGTTAGGGTATTTTATCACAGCAACAGGAGGGTGTCAGTGTCCTTCAGAACACACACGCAGTGAGTTACCACCTTACAGGGGAACTGAGCACAATGAGCAACACCACCCCACTTTCATGCTGATTCACCTGCTCAGCAAAGCAAGCCTGATGACGTGCCCAAGCATCAGCCAGCCTTCTCTCTCTGGGTCAGTCTTCACACAGGAACTTGTAATGGTAATATGAGACATGAGATGTTAATGTCATGTTCCAGCCTGGTAACAGCAGTCCTGGCATTCATGCACCTAGGCTGTGTTTAATAGCTGGGCAGGTTCTCCTGAGTTGGCTATTTGCTTTGCTAAACTTTATGGAGGGTTAACTGATACAAATGACTGGCTGTGTTTATGGTGGACTGTTGAGTTTTGACCTAACTATACCTACATGAGTGTATATTAGCAAGGCCAGGATAGAATCTAGAGCCCAGAACTGCAGTCCCAGCCTCCGTAGTGAAGTCAAGGAGCCTTTACCACCTCAGTTTTCTGTCACTCCTGTGTTTGAGGTTTATAAATTGTGTGTGTGTGTCTGTGTGTGTGTGTCTGTGTGTGTCTGTGTCTGTGTGTGTCTGTGTGTGTGTCTGTGTGTGTGTGTGTGTGTGTGTGTGTGTGTGTGGTGCATGCACAACTGTACTGGCATGCAGAGGCTAGAGGACATCTGGTGCCATCCTCTGTTTTCCTCCACCATGTTCCTCTGAGACAGGGTCTCTCCATGAACCCAAAAGCCTCCTCAGCAAGCTTCCAGGATCCACCTGTCTCAGCTCCCCAATGCTGGGGTTACAGTCATGGCCACCATGCCGGCTTTAGAGTGGGTCCCCATGCTGGCCCATCAAGTGCTCTTATGCCCCAACACCTCTTCATTGTTTTTAATCACCTTTTCCACCATACAGCAAGTCATTTTCTCTAGAGTCAAGTTCATTGTGACAGCAGGTAACTTTTCTTGCTCCTTTCAAGTGTGTTTGCCGATTCAGTCCGTTCTATGGAATTCACTGCAGGGATTTCCTTTTTCAGAGAAGAGCTTGGGAGACAGCTGACTCCCTGGAGGTGGGCTGAGGTGGAGAGGGAGCTGGGCACAAGCCTCATAGACAGGAGCAGAACATTCAGAATGGAGAGGAGGATACAGGGTGCACCCCTGCAGAACCAGGGAGCTGCAAAGGAAAACGAGACAAGAAGACAGCAGGGTGAGAGGTTTAGAGCCGGCTGGGGCTGAAGGAACAGCTCAGCACCACAGACAGAGACTGTAGGGAGGGGTGGGGAGGGCAAGAGGACACTGCAGTAGTGGGGCTTTGGGTTAAAAGGTGTGGTGGGATTTTTGTAGTAAAGGAACTCAGAAAGGTCATAAGCACATGCCCCCACAAAGCTGAAAGCCAGCATCGGAGGCAGGGAGGCAACACAGTGACAGGTCCTGTGAGGTCTCTCCCACCCAGGCAGGAGGTGGAGAAACAGCTCTGTTTTTGTCAGGTTTGCTGAATCCAAGGCTGCTGGGTGAATGTGGCACTTGGTGAATTCAGCCTGAGACTTTCCAGTCCGACTCACAATTCATGGGCCATGGGGATCATCAATTTACTAATAAAAACAACCAAGTTTCAGAATTGTTGGATATGAGGCTGTGGTCAAGCCCTCACCACTCTGCCGAGGCTATGCTCCCCCATCAGCGGGGTTTCTGATTCAAAATAGCCAGGAAAGTCCACTAAGTTTAACTAAAAAGCAAAGGGGAGAAAAAGCCCCAAACAGTACAGACAAGACAAACTTCCCTCTGTCTGAAAAGAACACTTTATTTTCACATGTTGATGAAGTTGGGCTTCAAACACGGTCCCCTGTAGTGACAAGCAAATTAAGACAGTGGAGTGCTTGCTTCATCCTGAGAAACTTCCATTGTTTCCCCTAGCAATAACCATTCTCACCAACCCCAGTCTAGGCAATGTCTGACCTGTTTTCTGTCACTAGAGGTTAGTATTGCCTTTGCTAGAATTTTATATCAGCAAAGATATGCAATGCTTTTTAAAATTGACCAGAATGTTTTTGACACTAAATCCTATGCATTTTCATGGCTGAGTAATATTCCATTGCGTGCTGATCCATGGACACCTAGATTGTTTTTGCTTTAAGTTATCATGAATAACGCTAAAGTTAATGTTAGTGTCTGTGCTGGATATCTTTAGTGTCAATTTGACATACCTGGGTTGAGGGAGCCTCAATTGGGAAATTTCCTCTATTGGACTGGCCTGTGGCCATGTCTGAGGGGCATCTTCTTGATGAGTGATATGGGAGGGCCCAGCCCACTGTGGGTGGTGCCACCCCTGAGCAGGTGGGCCTGTGTTGCATAAGAAAGCAGGCTGAGCACGGTCCAGGGGAACAAGCCAGTAAGCAGCACTCCTCCATGGCCTGTGCTCCAGCTCCTGCCTCCAGGTTCCTGCCCTGAGTTCCTACCTTGGGCTCCCTGATGAACTGTGACCCAGGAGATGTAAGATACCCTTTCCTCCCCAAGTTGGTTGTGGTCAGAGTGTTTTGTCACAGCAATGGAGAGACAAACTAGGACAGTGTCCAAATTATGTTCTCATTCTTCTGACTGAGTATCTCAGGTTGAACTGCATTTTAAATTCTATAAGCAAAAGCCCACTGTTTTCCATACTTTACCATCTAGTACCTCCAGGTACTCCACCAAGAATATGTGGGATGGTGTCTTGCTGTGATCTTCATTGCAGTCCCCTGATGACTGGTAATATAGAGTGTTTCTATGCCTTCTATCGGCCATTCATTAAGTTCTTTTGTAAAGTGTTTAGCTCTTTTACCTGCTTGAAAACAGGGCCATTCGTCTTGTCACTGTTGAATTATAAGAGTTTAGTACATATTCGTGAATACAAATCCCTGTCTCAATACAGAGAATGAGTATTTGGCTTTTCATTTTGGGGTGTGTGCATGTGTGTGTTTGTGTGTGCTGTACACATGTGGGGGTTTTCATGTGTGCCTATAGAGACCATGAGTGTTTTGTCTGCATGTATGTCAGTGTGCCCGTGTTGTGCGATGCCCACAGAGGCCAGAAGAGGGTCGGATCCCATGGAACTGGAGTTATGAATGATGGTTGTTAGTTACCATATATGTGCTGGGAACTGAACCCGGATCTTCTTCAAGAACAGCCAGTGCTCTTAACCACTGAGCCATCTCTCCAGTCCTAGCCTTTCATTTTAGTGACATTTTTCATATAATAAAATTTAAAATGTTTGAGGTTCAGTTTCTCTGTTTTTATTGGTTGTGCCTTTGGAACCCAAGGAAGCTGCTGACTGCAACTATGAGTGTTTTCTCTTGTTTCTTCTAGATGTTTCAGCATTTCAATATTTAAACTTAGATTAGCCCTCCTGGGTGAAACTTTGTGACATGAGGAAGAGATGGAGATTCTATCTATGAAATACACATCCATCCTGATGAAATATCACCCTAATGGGATGACATTACTACTTCCTAAACAATCAAGTGGCCCTCTCCCTGTGTGATGGACTGCTGGACTCTGCTGATCCTATGATCTCTTTGCTGTCTGTACACAGATGCTAGACTGCCCTGGCTATTATTTCTGGCAGGAAGACTTAAAAGCAGCCTCTTTAACTCTCGCATTTCTGCTCTGTTTATCCTCATGATTTTGACTATATCTTTAGCATTTCCATTTAAATTTTAGAATGAACTCACCAGGTGTCAATTTCTATGCAAAAAGCCTGCTGAGATTTGATCAGCATGTCACTCCTTATAGAGTAAGGTCAGGATAGTATTGACATATTAACCTGCTGAGCCCACCAGCCCATTAGAATGACATATTTGCACATCTAATTTTTTTCAACAGGAGGCTGGAGAGATGGTTCAGCAGTTAAGAGCACTGGCTGCTCTTGCAAAGGACCTGGATTTGGTTCATAGCACCCAAATGGCAGCTAACAATCATCTATAACTCCAGTTCCAAGGGCCTCCATGGGCATTGAACACACAGTTGCACTTACATACATGCACACAAAACACATAAAACTCACAAAACATAAAGTACATAAAGTAAAAATAGATTTTAAAAATAAAATTTAATTCTTCTCTACAGGTTTTGTGGATTTTAGAAGACAGATATTATGTATTTTGTTAAGTTTTTCCTGAGTAGCTCATATTTTATCTGATATTAAAGAGTGGTGCATCAATTATTTTTCTGTTGTTCTAATAAAATACCCGGAGAAAAAGCATGTTAGGGAAGAGTTTGTTTTGGCTTATAGTTCCAGAGGGGATACAGTCCATCATGGTGGACAAGGCCTGGCAACAGGCCTCAGCCCAGCCTGGCAGACAGGAAGCAGAGTGACCATAGTTCATCCACACACAGGAAGTGAAGAGAGAAAACAGGAAGTGGGGTCAGGCCATAAAACCGCAACACCTACCCCCAGTGACACACTTCCTCCAGCAAGGCTCCACCTCCTAAAGGTTCCATACCTCTGGGAACAGCACTACCAGCTAGGGACCACATGTCCAAAAGCCTTAAGGTGACATTTTCTGTTCAAACCATGAAGTGGTTAACTGATTTTTATTCCTAATTGTTGTTACAAATATATTTGAAGTACTGTTGTCATGTTGAACTCTGTGACTTGGCCAAACTGATTAGTGCTAGTAGTCTTTCTATAATCTGCTTATGACTTCTCCTAACCAGAGGACCATGCTGTATGCAGAGGGACAACATTGTTTCTTCACTTCTAGGTTTGTTTTTGTGGCACTGGGGATTGAACTGAGCTCCTTGATCATGCTAGACCAGTGCCCTACTACTGAGCCACATCCCCAGCTCCCCAAGTTTGCTTCTTAACGCTTAGGATTTTTTTGTGGTTTAAAATACAGTATTTAGATGCTCGCTTGGACAGTCTATATACTAAAATTGGAATGATCCAGAGAAGATTAGCATGGCCCCTGTGCTAGGATGACACACAAGTTCCTGAAGCGTCCTATATTTAAATAGTAATAATAATAATAATAATAATAATAATGCAGTATTTAGGACTGGAGTGATAACTCAATGGTTAAGAACACTGGCTGCTCTTGCAGAGGACCAGGGTTCGGTTCCCAGCACCCACATGGAGGTTTACACCTATGTGTAATTCCAGTTCCAAGGGGACCTGGCGCCCTCTTCTGACCTCTATGGGTATTCATGACATGGGTGCACCTACCTTCATGCAGGCAATATACTCATACACATAAAATAAAAATAACAGATAAGATATTTAAAATACAGTATTTACTCCATACTTTCAAAAGGAAGATACATATTATATAAAGAAATATCGCCTACTCATATATCTCAGATAATTTATACAGCAAAGGAGATGAATCAGCCAATCAGAAAACACCTGTCCAGTTGTGGAATGTTTAGTATTAAAAATTATAACCAATGATTTTTTTATTTTAGAAAAAGTAAATAAAAACAGATTTCAAAAACTCATAAGTCTGTCTGTCCTTTGCACACATCTACAGAATTACTATAAGATTAAAAATAAAGATATATCATTTTTTAATTTAAACTTCATACAATATATTTTGATTGTGTTTAAATTCCCCTCCCTGATCTGCACTCCTTCATCACTATCTCCACCCAGCTTCACACACACACACACACACACACACACACACGCACACACATATTAAGGCCTATAGAATTAAATTTGTGTCACCAAATATGCTTCAGTGTGGGTTCATCCACTGGTGCCTCATTAACCTACCAGGAATCACCTTAAAAGAGACTGACATCTCTTCCCAGCAGCCATTGGTTGCCAATAGTTCCTTGGGAAGGGTTGAGATTTCTTCCTCACTTCCCCAGATCTATGCTGGGATTTTGTCTGTCTTGAGCTTACAGGGGACATATACATGCTTTTACCATTGCTGTGAGTTCAAATGAATAACGTCCTAGCTATTTGGAAGACTGTATTTTCTTGTGGCTACTTTGATTCTTATAATCTTTCTGCTCCCTCTTCCTCAATGATCCCTAAGTCTTTGGAGCAGAAGTTTGGTACAGGTGTCCAGTTCAGAGACAATTACTGCAGACTCTTATTCTCTGCACATGGACCTTGGTGGGTTTCTGCCTGAATCACCATCTGCTGCATAAGAAAGCTTCTCTGGGGATATCTGAGTGATAATCTGTGTTTAAGTCATTGGGAGTTGCTTTAGGACTATAGTATTACTAACTGTACAGGTAATAGTAATAACTTTAGGCTCTTCCCTATGTCCTGTGGACTGTCTAGCCTCAGGTTCCCAGGCCTGATATCAATGTCAGGTGTGGGCTCCATCTTACGAAATGAACCTTAAATCCAATTAGAAAGTGGTTGTTTACTCCAATAATATTGTGCTGCTATGGCAACAGAGGTCATATCCTTCCAGGCTAGTTGAGGCTTGCAGGATTCACAGCTGGGTAAGAGTAATGATTAATTTTCTCTTCAGGTAGCATGCATAGCACCTTCCAGCACTATGAATGCTAGCCAGTAGAGATGAAACTGAAGTCAGCACCAACCTGATCTCTCCTTGTTTTTTCTCTGACTCACGTATGCAGTGTCAGCAATAGGGTTTTATCATCAAGTTCTGGTGGGTAACTGTGCTGGATAACTTTAGTGTCAACTTGACACACCTGGGTTGAGGGAGCCTCAATTGGGGAATTTCCTCTATTGAACTGGCCTGTGGCCATGTCTGAGGGGCATTTTCTTGGATTGATGTGGGAGTGCCCAGCCCACTGTGGGTAGTGCCACCCCCAGGCAGGTGGGCCTGTGTTGCATAAGAAAGCAGGATGAGCAGGGGCCAGGAGAAAAAGCCAGTAAGAAGCATTCCTCCATGGCCTGTGCTCCAGCTCCTGCCTCCAGGTTCCTTCCCTGAGTTCCTACCTTGGGCTCCTGGATGAACTGTGACCTGGGATATGTAAGCTAAATAAACCCTTTCCTCCCCAAGGTGGTATTGGTCAGAGTATTTTGTCTCAGCAATGAAGAACAAACTAGGACAGTAACCAAGATCAGGGGTAATGGCCAGTATTATTTGAGGGTTTATGGGCCTTTCAACAGCTATGGGTCTGGCCAGCAGCTATGGGACTGACCAACAGCTTTGGATCTGGTCAACAACTATGGGTCTGGTCAACAGCTATGGGTCTGGTCAACTGCATCAGATGAGGGAGTCTATGCCTATCATTGGGCTTTGACTTTGCTAGTCCATGATGCCTAGAGGGCTACGACCTCCTGTTATAAGGTGGTTCCTTTTACTCTCCTTTATAATATATACTACACACACACACACCACACACCACACACACACACCACACACACACCACACATACCACACACACACACCACACATACCACACACACACCACACATACCACACACACATATACACCACACACACACCACACACACCACACACACCACACATACCACCATGCTGCACACACAGACACATACACCACACACACCACACACACATACACATACACACACCACACATGCACACACACACCACACATGCACACACACCTCCATACACATGCCGCACACACAGACACATACACCACACACACATAAACCACACACACACCACATACACACATACACCCACACACACACACCACACACACCACACATACCACACACACATGTGTGCACACACACACATACACCACAAACACACACACACACACACACACACACACACACACACACACACCATTCAAGGACCTTGTACAGTGGCAGTTTCCATACGGCTTTCTCTAGAGGCCTTCAGTGTTAGTTATGCCCAAAATCCCTCTCTGCTCTGCCTCCCCATTCTCAACCCCAATTAACCCTTCCTACTCCATTATTTACCCTTTTCCCTTTGTAGCACTGCATTCTATCTTCCCTCCCATGAAGCCCCCCCACCAACCATTAGTTTCCTGACATCTCATGTTATTTCCAATTGAAATATGCATATCTAAGAATTCAGAGCTAGCATTCAGCTATGAGACAGAACGTGTGACCTTTGACTTTCTGGGCCTGGGTTCCCTCACAAAGAATGATTATTTCCGGTTCCATCCGTTTACCTGTGCATTTCATTATTTTGGGGTTTTTGACAGCCGAATAATATTCTGCTGCATAATTACCATACTTTCATTATTCATTCAGCCTCTCATGGACATCTAGGTTGTTTTCATTACTTGGCTACTGTGAAAGGGGCATCAATGAACAAGATGAACAAGTATCTCTTCAGTAGGATATAGATTTAGGGGGTATGTGTCCAAGAGTGGAGTAGCTATTTCATATGGCAGGTCAATTTCCAGGTTTTGGAGGCATCTCCACAGTGATTTCCACAGTGGCTGCACGAGTTTGCACTCCTGCCACCAGTAGATAAGAGTTCCCTTTCCCCTACACCAGCATTGATCCGTTTGCTTTTTGGATCTTAGACATTCTGAGCAGGATAAGGTGAAATCCCAAAGTGGTTTTAATTTGCATTTCCATGGTGACTAAAGATGAAAAACATTTTCTTAAGTATTTCTGAGTCATTTGCATTTATAAATTTTTTTAAAAAATATTCTATTTATGAGCCGGGAGTGGTGGCACACGCCTTTAATCCCACCACTGGGGAGGCAGAGGCAGGCAGATCTCTGTGAGTTCAAGGCCAGCCTGGTCTACATAGTGAGTTCCAGGACAGCTGGGGCTATAGGGAGACTCTGTCTCAAAAAGACAAAAGAAAATTTGTTTATTTTTATTTTATGTGTATGCGTGTATTGCCTGCATGTAGGTAAGTGCACCCACGTTGTGCAATGCCTGCAGAGGACAGAAGAGGCCATCGGATACCCTGGGACTGGAGTTACAGGCAGTTGTTAGCTGCCATGTGCATGCTGGGATTCTAGCCTGAATTTTCTGCAAGAACAGTCAGTATTCTTAACTGCTGAGCCATTTCTCCAGCCCCAAGTCATTTGCATTTAATCTTTCGAGAACTCCCTGATCGGATCTTGGCCCAGATTTTAATTGAGTTGCATGCTTTTTCAATGTTTAGTTTTTTGAATACTTTGTATATTCTAGATACTAACCTTCTATCAGAGGTGTAGCTGGTGTATATTTCCTCTCCACTCAGATGATGTTGTCCTTTGCTGTGCAGAGGTTTTTTAATTTCATGAGGTCCCATTTGTCAGTTCCTGGACTTGACAGCTGTGCTATAGGAGTGTGTTCAGAAAGTCCTTTCCTGTGTATTCCCTGCTTTCTCCTTTATCAGATTCAGGGTATCAGGTCTTATTTTGAAGCCCTTGACCCATTGAGCTTTGTGGGGGGGGTAGAGGGAGAGAGAGAGAAAGAGAGAGAGAGAATCTCATTTTATTGCTCATGTGGCTTTGACCAGTGCCATTTGTTGAACATGCCATCTGTTTTCCAGCATCTATTTTTGACTTCTTTGTCAAAAATCATGTGGCAATAAATGCATGGACTTAAATCTGGGTCCTCAATTGTGTTCCACTGATCAGTGTGTCTGTTTTTATGCTGGTACCATGCTGTTTTTATTACTATAGCTCTGTAGCATAATTTGAGATCAAGGATGGTGATGCTCCCAGCAGTTCTTTTACTGTTCAGGATTATTTTGGCTATCCTGGGTTTTTGTGTTTCCATGTGAAATTTAGACTACTTTTCCATTGTATTAGAATTTTATGGATATTGCATTGAATTTGTAGATTGGTTTTGGTAGGATTTTCACAATATCAATCCTACCAATCCATGATTGTGGGAGGTGATTCCATCTCCTGTATCTCCTTCAATTTCTTTCTTCAGTATCTTAAAGTTTCTATTATAAATGTCCTTTACTTCCTTGATGAGATTTATTCCACAATATTTTGTAGTGGTTAAGGCTATAGTGAATGATACTGTTTCCCTTATTTTTTTTCTTAGTATGCTTGTTGTTGGTATATAAAAAGGCTACTGATTTTTGTATGTTTATTTTATATCCTGCTACATTGTTTAATG